TATATATATATATATATATATAAAACTTGTTTCTCTTGGTCCTTTCTCTTTTCTCTTTCTTAGATACATATTACATAACATTTTTTTAAAAACGTCTGTTTCAGCTCCTAGCAACAAAATTTTAAATAAAAGTAGCTTAGAAATTTTCATTCGTTTCAAAGCCAAAACCATAATAGTCGACATCAAATTTATCAACGGTATTAATAAAGCTTGGGAGTGCAGCACTAGACCCAAATCTTATACAGGCTTAGGTATTAGAGATTTTATCGTGTTAGTTACATAGTAATTGCTAAAAGGGTTCTATCCATCCTTGGCAATTCTAAGATTCTTTAGGTTAAGCTTTTGCAAGCTAAATGTGATAATATTTATCCTTGGTATTATTGTATTCCCATCATTCTCGATCGTCCTCTTGGTAGTTGAGAAGTATTATATTTGTCTTTAAAGCTCTCAATGGAGGTTTCAAAAAACTAGTAGAGTCCAGCTTTCATATTAATATTTAGAATAATCATTGGTTTACATATATTCCTCAACAAATGGTCAATCTTTATAAATGTGTATGATATAATGGAATACGAGATAGTACCTGAGCTTTTGGAAAGGGTCATTGGAATCTTTGAGTTCTCTTGAACCTTTTTCATCCACCACTTATTTGTTAGGAAAGCAATCGACACTAAGAGATGGGTGAATAAGTGCAGCGGTAAAATAATGTCAGTTTAAAAATTTTTGTATGATAATAATTATTTTCGATGAAAAGTCGTTTAGTAAAGATTATTCGTAAAGATAGCTAGAAGGTAGTAAGACTTAAAGAGGTTTATAGTAAGGTAATAGCAAGAATAAATGCAAACCAGATAAGATGACAGTTTATAGTGGTTCGGTCAATCGTGACCTACATCCACTCCTCCGATTTCTCTTCCGTCGAGGCCACTGGCATCCACTAAAGGCCTTCCTTCAATAGGCAAAGGCCAAGCACATTTTACAACTCAATTCTTTTTTTACCGGGTTTAGGAGATAACCCTTACACCCATTCACTCCTCTCTCAAATTATTCTAATACTTAGAGAGGAGCTCACACAAGATTACAACAGCGTTTCTATACTTTTTTACTCTTATTTTTTAACCATGGATAATAGGGGTATTTATAGGCTTCAAGTTGATTCAAACTTGGAGCCTAAAAACATCTCATACCGGGTTCCCCGGGCATGGGTGGTACCATCGCCCAGTGTCAATTTGGTTGACACTGTCCTGGGCGGTACCATCGCTTGGGAGGCTGTGCTGGGTGGTACCACTGCCTAAACTAGCGTACCATTGCCTGGCACCCTGTTAGCGGCGGTATAACCGCCTAGACTAGCGGTACCATTGCTTGACATAGTCTCGAAGATTATGCCGCGATGAGAATTCTTGGGACACTATTTGGGCTTCTTATTGGGCCCAACATAGTTCTTACATGGGCCTAGTTGACCCTTAATTGGGTTGGCCCAAATCCAAGCCCAATTACGTGCTAACTACAATTCCTAAGACATATTCTAAGCTAAACACGTCCGTAAGTCTTGGTTCTTCTAGCGATCTTCCGACAAACTTCTGATGATCTCTCGGTAATGTTCCAACAGACTCTCGGCAAGCTCCTAGACTTCACGACGATCTTCTTAGCGAGTTCGGACGAACTTCTTGGCAAGCTCCGCGACTTCTCGACTGGTTCTGCCAGAACTTCTAACGAATGTTCGGACTTCCGACAAACTCTTAAACTCCTAATGATGTCGCGTTCTTGACTCCGGGACTTCATTTTGCTTCATGCTTTGCTCTCGTAGTTAATCCTGCACATGTAAAAACACATTTTGATCTAGACAATTAATACTAAGCATTAATCAAATTGTCCAGCATGTCATTGGTCCCTTGACGCTTTGTTCGATTCTTCGACGCATCGTCCTCTCTTGTGGCCTATTGCCCAATCGACCAATTGACTCCGCAACTCCGATATCCTTAGCGTAATATCCGCTCTTCTTGGTCCGATTCTCGAATCCACGACCCAAAGCTTTCTATCGATATGTCGATCGATCCACCGGCTCGACGTCAAATCTTCTGACATGTTCCTCCGGCCCAATATGATTTTTCTTGCTTTAATTGTCTTATCCTGATCGAAGTATCCTACGTCACTCAAAACGTAGATTAAATCATAAACACATATCAATTGGTTTCATCATCAAAATACGATATTCAACATTATTAACTTGATTAAAAATATATATTCCTTTTAAGAACTAATTATGATCTTTGGATTTGATCTTTTCATCCTTTATGTATTATTGTAACCCAAAGTGTTTATACTTGCAACATCTCGGAAAGATTTAATTATAATGACAAATAGAGAGGTTGGACGATAAAGCGGAAGCTTAAGGTTTCTTCGGAAATCAAAACTTTTCTTTGAAAATTTTTATGGGGGACTCCCTACCTCACCTTGGTTTGCCAAGATTTTTAACTCATATTGGCAACTATTTTAATATATATTGTAATAGCAATTTTCTTCCTTTGGCAATTGGCACGTAGGGTCTTAGATTACTAAGAGGCATGACCTTGACAAAGATTCTACAAGTAGATTACTTGCACTCGTTACTAATTTTCTATGGATTAGTTAGAAACACCAAAATGAATGCCACTTTTGCAATCACTTTGTTAGCAAATGGCTTAGAATCCTATGACGAGAATCCTTCGCTTGTTGAATTTGTGGATTTTACTTCACAAATGCACCTGGATGATTTTTATCATACACCTTTATCTTATCAATTTTCTCTAGAATACGTTGCTTCCTTTATCTTATCAAGTCTTATTGGTAAACTTCATATGTTATTTCTTTCCTGTTTCTGCATTACTAGGTGGATTTGACTTTTAAGATCTCTTTTCAACAAGGATTAATATAATACAATATACGATTAGATGATGCAATCTTGTTTGGCAGATTTGGTGTACCATATGGCTTGACAAGTTTTGCATGTTAGTTAGATTCTGCTCTACATAAGTTAATTTAGATCTAAAGATGCACCTAACACAGTCCTACTACAATTTTTTTAACTATAAAGTAAAAGTTGATATGTTTTCTTGACTCATGGTTAGCAAGTTTGATGGAAGATGAGCAAGGAACATGTCCTACATCCAGTATCAAGTCAATTAAGTCTTTTTTTTTTTACTTTTTTTTTGTTGATGGTGGAATTAAGTTGACCAACCCAAACCAGCTCTCACACAAGTCAATCTTATAATCAAATTACCTTTGTCATTGAGGGGTCCATAAATATGACATGTTACTCCTCAAATAGGTATAAGGTATAAGAATCAAGACATTGTGATGGAATTCATTTGAGCAACATGATTTATGCGTCAACAAGGGACCAACGTCTAAGATTTACAAATCATTATCGAAGACAACTTGATTTTTGCACCACCATAAAATATATAAACTGTGTTTTACATATGTGTCCTTCCAAGTGACAAATTCTTCAACAAATAAAGGTTCGTCATCTAAATATAATCATCATTATTCATTTAGAAATTTTGTATTAATTACCTGACTATGATTAATATTAGTTTCTTTAAGTTTTAAAATACATAAAATAGAAAAGTACCTAAGATCAATTTTAACTCATAGGGGTAAATATTAAAATCACAGACTTCGGAGGGATTCATCTGCAGATTTCCCAAGTCCGACCTCAAATCAGCAAGAAAAGCATTCAATGATGCTATGACCAGAACTTCTTCCCCCACGCTATGGACCTGTCGCCATTGGCCATAGCTTCTTTACCCACGCCATGGAGTTGTCCACATTGGCTCCCTTGATTCAATGGATTTGATGATGAGCAATAATGCGCACGGACTTTGATGACAGCCTCTGCAAATGCAATTAAAAGTTTCGCATGTGGGATGGCGCATCGAGTCAACAGTGGAGCGATGACACACAAGCTTTAAATCCTAGAATAATGTGCATTATATAGGACGAGATGAACCATCCAAGCCATGGCTTTCAACCTTTGTAGCATTGCCGAACGGTGAGTAGTACACGCTAAATGTTGACTCCAACTTCTTATCCTCTATCCTTATCACGGGCCAATAGGATGTGTTCATTAGAAATTTGATCCATCGCATGGGTATCTCTTTTCCTTACACAAATAAGAGTTATGTTGATATCTGTTTGACAAAAGTCGTCACCAAAAAGCAATAAGTTGATCTGATTGATAGTTATCCTTTAATATCAGGCTTCAAAATCCAACTATCCTCGAAGGATTACAAAGAAAACTTTGAGCATGCTTTTGAGTTGTTCTTCCTGGATTCAGTTGAAAGAGTTTTCTTCGTGTAATGGAATGTTGCATTTTCTATATATTTCCCCTCATTCAAGTATTGGCTTCTTTTATAGTGTGTGTGTGTGTGTATTATTTATCTATTTATTATCATCAATAAAATGGATATATTTTTTATGATTAGTTAAAGAATGTTAAACCGCTCTTTTCTATATATATATTTCCTTGTTTATGTTTGCCCTCATGCCAATATTGGTATCTGAATACGTTCGAGCCGCACAAACCAACTCCTCTCAAAAACACCTATTTTAAGTTCATGTGAATCTCTCTCTGTCTCTCTCTCTCTCTCACTCTCTCCATAGAAACAACGAAATCTCAGCTCCGGACCAGAGATCTTGATCCAATAGGTTGGCTTTTATACCCTCGGTGACCTTGCAGACTCAGACTGGGGATCTCTGTGCCCTTGTGTGCGTCCTCGCAGAAGTCGGGACCTATCAAGGGCCTCTGTCTCGTTTCGCCGCTTGTTTCACTGCCGAGGAGCTTCATTTTGGGTTGTGATCTCGCAAGAATCGTAGTGTCGGCTTGTTTTCTGTTGTAGGGAGTCCATTTGAGTGCATTTTCTTTGTGATTTTGATCGACAAAGAGGTGCCTTCCTTTGTCGGGTCAAATGTGGCTGGTGATGGGATAGGAGTGTTGGGAATCGGGAGAAGTTGGTGTTTGCCCTCGTTTTACCGGCTAATCTGAACCCTTTTTAAAGTGTAGATTGCTAATCTGGCATAAAGATGTTTCCTTTACCTAATTTGTTTTGATTTCTCTTCTTTCCTAGTTGTTTTTTTTAGTCTTCCGGGGAAATATTATTTGGCTAGTGTGGAGATTTGGGAGGCTTCCTCTCTTTTATGCAGCATGAGGAATCTCTTCCTCTCGGATTCCTGCCAAGAGGGACAACTTCATGCCCTTACTCCCCAGACATGGCTTCAGGTGGAGAGAGCCAAGCTGTCCAAATCCTCCTTATACTCCACATCTTCCATGTAAGTTGAATGATCTCTGTCTATCCGGTAGAGTTTGATACTCTTCAACTTTCTATTCCCTCTAATAACAGGATTCCTTGTTTGTGTGTTTGCCATAAACATATATAGTGAGTCTCTAATCAAGGTTGCGGAGCCACCAATTCTGGCTCTATTTAAGCCTGTAGATTATGTACAAGTCTTAGCTCAGATCCATGAAGAACTCGAATCGTGCACACCACAAGAAAGGTCGAGCCTGCACTTGCTCCAGTTCCAGGTATTTCGGGGTCTTGAGGAGGTCAAATTGCTAGAAAGGAGTCTTCATTCTGCTTGGCAGAATGCTACCACGATTCATGAAAAGCTCGTATATGGGTCATGGCTAAGGTACAAGAAACAAGGAGAAGAGGTCATATCTGACCTCCTTTCTTCCTGCGAGAAGTGCTCACAAGAATTTGGATTTGTGGATGTTGCTTCTCAGATCCCTGTTAAGACCGTTGATATGGTCAGTGAATGCAGTTATGATATTTCACAAGTTTCTAGTACTGTACATTTCCGAATTGGGGATGAGATGATTGCTTGTGAGAGACAAAAGATAGCGGCTTTGTCTCCTCCATTTAATACCATGCTTAATGGGTCCTTCACCGAGTCACATCTGGAAGTCATTGACTTGTCTGAGAATGGCATATCACCGGTGGGTATGAGAGCAGTCTCTAAGTTCAGTGGCACAGGGCAATTAGATGATTTATCTGTTGAAATTTTGTTGGAGATATTGATATTCTCAAATACATTCTGCTGTGCAAGGCTTAAAGTTGCTTGTGATAAGAAATTGGCTTCGTTAGTTTCTTCACACCAAGATGCTGTAGACCTTATGGAGTGTGCAGTGGAAGAAAATACTCCCATACTTGCTGCTTCGTGCTTGCAAGTGCTATTGCATGAACTTCCTCACTGTTTGAATGATGAACAAGTTGTTAAAATCTTCTTGAATGCCAGCAAGCAACAGCGGACAACCATGGTCGGTCATGCTTCATTTTCATTATACTGTTTTCTAAGTGAAGTTGCAATGAACATTGATCCAAGTTCAGATGTCACAGCATGTTTCCTCGAGAAGTTGGTGGAGTCGGCAGTGAGTACCAGGCAGAAGCAAGTGGCCTTTCATCAGCTTGGATGTGTTAGGCTATTGAGAAAGGAATATAGTGAAGCAGAACATGATTTCAATGCTGCTTTTGCTGCTGGACATGTCTATTCTGTTGCTGGATTGGCCAGATTGGCTTTTATTAAAGGGGACCAAATTTTGTCCTATGAGAAGCTTACTTCTGTAATATCATCCCATCAACCACTAGGTTGGATATATCAAGAGAGATCTTTGTACTCTGAAGGCGATAGAAAATGGGAGGACCTTGATAAGGCAACTGAGTTGGACCCTACTCTTACTTACCCGTACCTGTGTCGGGCAGCATGTTTGATGAGAAAACAAGATGCCCAACTTGCTTTGGCAGAAATTAACCATGTCCTAGGATTCAAGCTGTCTTTAGAATGTCTTGAACTGCGCTTCTGTTTCTATCTGGCACTTGAGGATTATAAAGCTGCACTTTGTGATGTTCAAGCAATTCTTACACTGGCTCCCGAGTATCGAATGTTTGAAGGACGAGTAACTGCTTCCCAGTTGTGGACACTAGTTAGAGAGCATGTGGAGCAATGGACTCTTGCGGATTGTTGGTTACAACTTTATGATAGGTGGTCATCAGTGGATGATATAGGCTCCCTCTCAGTAATTTATCAGATGCTGGAGTCTGATGCTGCAAAAGGAGTGCTGTATTTCAGGCAATCATTGCTTCTTCTCAGGTATGTTCTTCTGTCCCATTCTTCTTATATAGTTACTTGAGTCTTCATTCTATCTTTTGATGATCATTCATATTAAAGTTGGTTTTCTTTTTATAATCAACTTGTGATATTGGTTTATCAGATTGAACTGTCCTGAGGCTGCAATGCGTAGCCTACAGCTTGCATGCCAACACGCTGCAACTGAACATGAACGATTGGTCTATGAGGGTTGGATATTATATGATACCGGTCACTGTGAGGAAGGACTTCGCAAAGCCGAGGAGTCAATTTCCATCCAAAGGTCATTTGAAGCTTTCTTTCTGAAAGCCTATGCTTTGGCAGATTCAAGTCTCGATCCTTCATGTTCAGCCACTGTTGTTTCACTTCTTGAAGATGCACTAAAGTGCCCTTCAGATAGGCTTCGAAAGGGGCAGGTATTATGTAGCATATTTGCATTATCCATCAAATAGTTTATTGCTTTTTGTTAATTCCTTGAATTTTCATTTTTATTATTGGATTAAATTAGGTAGGAGACTTTACCTAATAAAGCAACTTAATCTTTTTCATTGCCTTGACTTATGGCTAATGGTCCATACTCCATATTACCTCAAAGAAGGACATTCTAGTCCACAGATCTCCAGGTTAGTGATATACATGCATTTAACACTATATTCACAAAGATTTACCTTGAAGATTACAACAGACTGAAAAAACAATTTAAAAAAGATTACCCTGGTGAGTTGGTAAGGAGCCACAAAGTAATAAACACTGGCATGGTCTTCAGATACATTGGCCAGTTTCATGAGATGACATGGACACTGTTGAAGATGCAGGTGAACTACTATTCATAAGTGAGAAACTTATGCTATGCATCCTGAGTGTGTTGTGGGCCTGAACTTTTACCTATATGTGGACTCAATTAATTTTTTTCTCCCAGGAGCTGATACCATTATTTGTATGTTTCTCTAGAATTATGGTCTATAATGAATTTGAGAGGTTGTTAAGAATTGGATGTGGTGGGGGCTGACTTAACATCCGTTGCAATGCTTCTTGCATGACTTGACTTGTCTATGTGATGTTCCCTCGCTGACCTCGAGTAATGACTGTGTCTGAGACCTTTTTTGGGTATAAAAGTGCTGGACAGTTGTCGTCCGAGTGAAATTGATGACTGCTGATTTGAGATGGGAAAGGATTCGCACCCTTTCCTGAGACCAACTGAGTTTAAAAAGACCATTGAATGGCAGCAATCCCCAAATATGGTTATTTTACTTGCAGAAAAGGGTGAAATTACAGCGGAATAAAAGCTATACCGAAAGGGCTCTGGCCTATTTATTATAGATTTGGGCAATATTAAACTGTAGGTAGATAGTGTTAGCTGCTAGAGCATCTCTGTTGATATCTGTTCATTATCTTCGGTGGTAAAGCACTTATATCTTCTCTTCATTAGCTTTCTGGAGGCCTGTGGATGAATCCTGAGCGAACTTCATCCGGCATTCATCTTCTATGATGACATCCAGGACTTCTGCAGAGATGATTTATGTGGGATAAGATCACTTTAAATATGGGTAAGTGATTCAATGATTTATAGAGATGATTGTGAATTGGTCAATGATGATGATGAACCTACTCATGATGGTCTAATGTTGCTAATAGAGTCAGCAGACACGAAGATCCCATCACTGTGATCCTGAAGAAGAAAGCATGCAACACTTTAAATTTAAAGGCCCAATTAGGCTTATATAGAGGCCAAGTTAGTAGCTTAATCCACCTATTATAGGAGGAACTAGGTGCATTACAGCACCAATGGCAGTGCCGGGATTGTTCACGGCTTTTGCAGCTGGTCTGCAGACATACTCTACCACCTGTGAATTTGTGACATGACTTGTAGAGAAAGTGCTTAAATTAGACTGCAATATTATTAAAGTGTGACAGTATCTGCCAAGTCACTGATTCTTGCTTTGAAGAAACCACCAACCAGAACTCTGATTTTGGTTAGTCGAGTGCCACTGCTTATGCTTAAATAGTGGACATGGGCACAAATATGAACTTGTATTTCTCATGATCTTGGCTAGGAAAACAAAGAACATAAGAACAAGAAGCTATTTATGTAAACCTGTAATTCTTTTGCTACACTTCAGTCAGGGATGCACATATTTACAAAAAGCTGGTAATTTGATGTATTCATCTTTTTTTTTTATTGTAGTTCTTTTCAATAGTAGGGAAAGATCCACATAATTGACTTCAAATAGTTTGGACATTACGACTTGTTGCTATTGTCATTAATAATCTTGTTCTTGTATCATGATTGCAATCAAGGATTTTAATTTTGAATTATACCGCCCGATACATGTACCGGTCCGCCAGACCGATACGTGGACCGTTAGCTACTAGGCGGTATCGTCGATTAGGGTTGTTTTTGTCCCATTACTGCCTGAAATCGGTCGGTAACGGTCGATTTCGACCATCGCCACCCGCTACCGGACGGTATTAGCCGAGGGAGAAGGAAGAAGAGGGAGAAGAAAAGGGAGAACCTGGAGATCCGACATTGCTCTCCCTTGACGATCGCAATCCGTCGCCGCCCTCCCTCGCCAGACGCCATAGATGAGATGTCGCCTTCTCGTTTGAGGCGACGAGGCCTCGGCGTCGTCGGTGACTTCTCCTCATCCGCGCGGGGAGAAGACGTAGCCGAGGCTTCGCAGGAAGAAGAAACGAGGCAACGCCACCTCGGCGACGTCGCCCTTTTTTTATTTTTTTATTGCATATATATTGACCGGTATGCCAAAGCATACCACTCGGTACACTCATACCATACTGAGCCGAGCTAAGCTCAAACCGTCAGTATGCTACGAAATTACGAACCTTGATTGTAATTCATTAAAAATCCTTAGGTGATTCTGTGTTACAAGCCAACTGAATGTAGTGTTTCAAGTTGCATAGTTTGAGCAGTTAGTGCCAGAACCAGCTCATATCCTGCAAATAAAGTTATCAAATCTGAATTAATTTTAGAAAAATTCAAATGCTTGTTTTGTATGCATGATATCACTGCACTTAGTTTGGATTATTGTTGTTTTGCCCATCATAGAACTTTGTTTTTCAGGCACTGAACAACCTTGGCAGTGTCTATGTTGACTGCGGGAAGTTAGATATGGCAGCTGATTGTTACATCAATGCCCTAAAAATCCAGCATACCCGAGCCCATCAGGGCCTTGCTCGAGTCCATTTCCTTAAAAATGACAGAAAGGCTGCATATGAGGAAATGACAAAGTTAATAGAGAAGGCTAGAAACAATGCATCAGCATATGAGAAGAGATCCGAATACTGTGAGCGGGAACATACTAAAGACGATCTGCTGATGGTTACCCAGTTGGATCCCTTGCGGGTTTATCCATATAGATATCGAGCAGCAGGTCAGATTCTTTATCCTCTTCCAAAAATTGTTGAAATCAGATGAACTTACGACATGTTCAAAACTCATTACCATCTTTTCCAACCCAACATAGAGTACCTAGGTTGCAATGAAAAGGTTCAGAAAGTAATGACATAATTCTTGTGTTTTGAAAATATTTGGCTATGCTGTTATAATAGTTGCTCTCTTGAGTTCCTAAAGAAGGGGACACATCACTGAATTAACTTCTTAAATTTGTTTGTACTTGGTGAAGGTTTTTAAAGTTGAACTTAAATCCATTACATGTCACAATTTTTCCTACAAGCAAAACCAAAGATTCACTCTCGTATTCTTTTTTTATATTACCTTTCGTTTTAAAATTTAAAGCTTGGAGAGGTTTATCATTTTGTGTTTTCCCCTTTATTCCATTTCTTCAACTTAATTCTTCCTTTGTGAATTCTGTGCTCTGTGAATCAGCTTTTATCGAGTTTAAAATTTTCTTTGAATTGTTGACCAGTCTTGATGGATAACCACAAGGAAAAGGAAGCAATAGCAGAGTTGACACGAGCTATCACATTCAAGGCTGACCTTCATCTCTTGCACCTCCGTGCAGCATTTCATGAGCACACTGGAGATATCTCCAGTGCGCTTCGAGACTGCCGTGCAGCCCTTTCTTTGGATCCCAACCATCAGGAGATGCTCGAGCTCCACAAGCGCGTAAACAGCCAAGAACCTTGATGGAACGTTGACCATACTGTACATTACCCCAGATCCATGCAGCTGTGCACCTGATCACGGCCTGGTTGATCTGTATTCTTTGTTTGTTTCTTTCTTTTCTAGTTCCGTATAATCTGTGTTGTTTAGATGTAGCATTATGATTGCTTATCGACTAAATTTTGGCACGTCCAATGAGATGAAATTTCAGAGCCAGTTTGCAGTGTCTACTTTTCATTAATCAATTGTGCTTTTTATGTAATCATACTTGTATCAAATTTGTGAAGCAAATGGGCATGATTTACTACGAAATTCTCAATATGTGCAGGAATACTGACGCAATAGTTATCATATATATTCAGTTTTGTGCTGCTGTAAAATTGTTAAAATTCACTATTCGTGTTATGTTCTCTCTTTTTCATCGAAAAATCATTGTGTTATATGAATTCAGTGGTTCTCTATTCGATTTTGCCTAGACCTCATTTATGTGGCATGATAATTTGATCTTTGCTAAGAATCTGTTGCTTTTCTTTCTTTTCCTGCTGTTCCACTTGGAAGTGATTCACAGTCTCTGTTTCGAACACTTTCGACCTGGAAAAAGATGCATTGTTTCTCTTTTCTTTCAGTGGATGACTGGATTCTTATCACTGCTTTCTTCATATAATTGACTTCCCCACATTGGTTTATGTTAGTTCAATGAGTTTGACAATGAATTATGTACAAAGACACTGATGACAGCCTTACCAAATAATGCAGTAGACATGTCTCTACAGCAAGTCAGCAAGGGAGGGCAAAGCTTGCTTTGAATCCAAGAAAAATATTCATTCAGCAAACTATGATAAATCACCCAAGCAGATGGCTTTTCTCTTACTTTTGTGATCTACAATTTACCAGTGAGCAATACACTACATGGTGTGAAGATCAAGGAAATATTCCTAGTTTTCTCTTAGACAAGTGTGTCAATTTTATTTTTAATGTATGGAAAATATCAAGAATCTAATCATAGAACATCTTCTGGGTACCAGAACCAGTTTTGTGGGCAACAACCAGATTGATCTGCATTGAACCCTTTCTCAGGTAAGAAGAAAAACAAAGACCATCCAGTTATTCTCGAGTCTTTATAGTTTATACTTTTGTTTCACTTATTAGAAATGAGATATTGTTTTTGTTTTCTCCTTCTGTGGGGGGGTTTTGTCAGTGAAGGTTTTACATGGATGTTTTGAAGCAGAAACTTGCAGATCTGTTGAGTGGCAGATTAGGAGGATGGGTTACAACCCAACCCAATTATTCCACAATCAAAGACACAGAAGAAGAGAATAAAAAGGCCATTGTCTTATGCAAACACAAACCACTCTTTTCAGTCCACAACCTCATTTCTTTTCTCTTGGGGTACATGCAGTTGGTTCTTTCTTTTACAAGCTAGAGCTAAATGCATCTTGCAACAATCATTTAATACAGGTGTTAATACTTGTAGGTTTCAGAATCCATATGACTTGCATAACCCAATATTCATGATTTCTCAACTCCAAGAACTTCAGGTACTTCAAAGCAATATAATTATAGCATCTCTGCTCTCAAACTTGGAAGTATAAGCATGTAATGAACAATAGCAAAATTTTTGGACCTAATTCAGCAATCTTTTATGTGGAGGGACCATTATAGGCATTCCAACTTAATTTGCAATATCCCATTGTAATATTTAGATAAATTAGCTGGAGTTATGCCGACCAATGTTTCACTCAACTTTGAATGATCAAACTGTTGAAGGACAATTCCATGTTTGAAGTTAGAAAAGTTGGATCATTCATTCTCTACAACTTGTGGCTTGCCTTGATTAGCATAAATATGTATGATGTGTGACAAACACATTGACTATATTCTATGCTGATGCAGGATTAATGGATGGTCAATATATGCAAGTAGAAAGGTTATACTGTCTTTTGTGCCAAACATGCTGAAAGAAACTACTCTTACAACTCGCATCTTTAATTTGCTTTATTGTGTTCATTGCATCAGCATCTATGTTCTTTGTATACCAAATGGCTGTATTGTTTACTTTGTGTAGTTGTTGACCAGTGATATGGAGCCAAATGGTACTACTTCAGTCCCTCTGAAAAAGATTCACATGCCTTCCTTCAAAGTTCTAGAAATTATCCACCTTTCATCCTTCAATCTCAGCATCCTCTTGTAAACCAAATGTTCAACCTTGTCTAATGAACAACTGATACAAGTAAGTTCCTGAAACATATGTGGTAACTTCAAATTTCATGTCCTCAACCTACAAACTTTTGCTTTAGCCAGTTGCGCCTTAACCCTAACCCTAAACCTTGTAACCCTGCCCAGCATAATTAGATAGACAACCTTGCTGAGAGCTGGAGTTGGCTGTAAGACCAATACATCTTCTGTATACTCCTTCAGAGGGCAGTTCTGAATTCCTTCCTCGGCTGTATTGTTTCCTGGAAACCAGAAACAGAAAACCTAAACGAGTCTTGGCTGAGATCAAAATCATCACCACAACTGCTGCAGCAATGATATGCTTCTCCATGGTTCATAGCCTCACTTTATCAGTTTGCCAAGAACTAGATGGTAGTCCATAGCCTCTCATTACATAGGAATTCATTTTATCTTGCTTGCAAACTGTATAATTTAAGCTTATTTTTTTCAGTTATGTTATAGGTCATAATTGACTTGCGTTTACCATCCTATTCTTGCTCAGCCATGTTACTCGAAAAGCCGTAAATTTCGGTATCGATTCATTGGATTTCATGTTATGGTCCGTCTCATATTTGTCTTATCAACTGCCTTAAGTAGCTAAATTATAGTGTAAATCGAAGTAGCAGTCTTCTTTAATTAGCACAAGCATGCTTTCAAGCTGAAGCTAACTGATATTGAGAATCCAGCTGCTGCCAAAAGCAAAAGGAAATGAACACCGGACCTAAACAATCTCTTCTGTTCAGCAACCAATCATTTCTTTGTGCATGCGCTGATACAATCTGAGGTCATCACACAAAGTGATCTTGGAAGTCTCACTCACGCGCGATTTAGGATATCGACAATGGCATGCGCAAGTGAAAGAGAGCATAAGTAGGCTTAATGACCGCCAAAGCGCAATCCAACACGGATCATGTGACGATGGTCCCAATCCATTCTGTCAATGACCTGTATCGATACGATTAATAGGACTAATCACATGTAAAACGCTGTACTGTTTCCATGATACAAAGGATATTTAATGTCCTATTCCAACTGCACTGCTTGTGCTTGTTGGTGGTCAGAATTATTGAATGGGGAAGAGAGAAGAGGACCACATCCATTCAATGGTGGTGACAAGAAAAGAGGAAGGCTAGTGCATGGACCACAAAGTCAAGTTTTCTGATTCTAGGGTTTCTTTTCTTTTATCTAGGGTTTATCAGGACTCCACTCGGGGAGTTGCTTCACTGTCTGCAAGCCTTGCATGGGAAATTGGCATCCTCTTGGAAGCAGCTCTGATCTGAGACTGGCGAGGACAGTGATGGGTGAACTGTTTGTTTTGTGGAGAATGGTACAGAGGCATCTTTCTAATCTGCTCCTACTAACATACTACTATCGTGTATATACAACTTGGACCACATCATCGTGTTGCAGGGTTCAGTACAACACTCTCATCTGCTTCCCATTTTACTGTGAGGTGTTGGTTCCTCCAAACCTTGGAGATTACTGCTGCATATACAGATCAGATGGCCCACATATCACATTGTTGATCTCCACACCACAAAATGAGATAACTTTGTTGCTGATATTGTACGTGGCCTGTCAAATAAATCTGCCTCCACTCATTGTGAAGCAGTGAAAAGTAAAGAGATACATGACTGAAATGAAATGGTGGTCATTGTCAGGTGGAGTAGGGAGAAGTTTTACAGGCTTGGAGGTAAATTGTTTCTTAGTTCTTATTTATCTTCATGAAAGAAAGCCCAGTGATCATGTTTCATCTGAGAGAATGAAAGGAAACACAAAGAAGAAGGTGATGTAAAAGAATGATTCAGCAACCCTCTCAAAAGATGTGGAGCCCAAAGAGAGCAAAGGGAGATAACTCTGTCGAGCAAGAATAATGTGTGATCCATAAGTATACCATAATGGCTTTGTGAAGCTTTCATCTTGTGCTCTCCTCGGTTGGAATCGAGGGTTGTAGTTTTGTAGTTGAAGCTGAGGTTACAGAGAGAAGAAAAGATAGATGGGTGTAAGACTGTATCTAGAACTCTTAAGTGATCTTTTTCTGGTCTCCATTGTTGATCCAAACAAGGGAAGAGAAAGTGGACTTATCTCTTCTTTTCTCTGCTCTCTTTCCTCTTTTCTAAACAGACACTTAATTCAGAGGAGCTACATCTGATGGAAACATTTTGGAAGTGACAGTGGCATCCCTTTCCCTTCAGCAGTGGGTCTCAATGTTCTTGAGGTGGATGCCTTCCCAAAATATGCATCTTGTTCAACTGATAGAATCTGCCCTTCTGTGAAGGCTGAAGAGAATATTTATGATGAACTGCCCATGCTTGCCACTGACATGTCTTTGATTAATAGTATCAGTAGATAACACCAACCATGAGAATACATATTGAAGAAGATACATAATAGAAATAGAATACAAGTAGTTCCATCCTAAATCAAACCTTCCAATCTCTTTCATTACAAATAGGATGCTATGAACAACTTGTTCCAAGTTTTCATTACAGATAGCTATCCATTTCCTAACATCTTAATTGCTAGTAGCTTGGCAGAAAAATCCTCCTGACTCGTAATTAAGCTTTTGGTGCTTCAGTAGTCTGAACTTAGAAAGCCAGGTTGAAGCTAACTCAGATTACTCTCACAACCATGTCATTTCAAGGAAGCAGTTTCTGGTGTGATTCATGGGTAGATCTGAGATGTCCACTTAATGATGCCTTGTTCCTATATATTGATCCAACTAATGCTTATTCTATATTGAATACAGAAAATAATTGAACAAAAATCATAAATATTTTTAAGAAAAAAGAAAAAAACAGATAGCTGTAGTTGAGTTCTATGAGCCATGGTTATGGTTTTGATTTCGGTATCGAGTTGGAACATGATTTCTCGCTTCTTTCTTCTCTCGCTTTCTAAAATTCAATTATTCGCTAGGAAAACACTGAAAACATTATTGACATCAATCAGACAGGAAATACCACCACCTGCATTCATCCATGGGCATGGTTAGGGTTTTTTTGGCTCACTACTTGTTTCCTATTAGATAAGCTTGAGTTGATCTACTCTAGCTAAGAAAGTTCAGCATTCAAGTTCCAATGAGGATCAAGTACTCTCTCTCTCTCTCTCTCTGTGTACCCTCATTGACTATTCCAACTTCAGTATCAAAGAAAAATGAAACTTTGATCCCCCTCAACATTTAGGTAGTCACCCACCATAATGTGTTTGTGGTCCTCAAAATGAATCCAAATTGGCTTTGATTGCATGCCATAGTATCATATTACAACAGTTTTTTCTTTTGCCAATGGACAAACTATAATGAAAAATTATACTTCAAATAATTAATCACAAGATAAATTAAGTCACTCTAAGTTCATAGACCTTGAACATATGGCATCACTTGAACAATTTAAACATTAATAATAGAGCCATGACTTCCTTTCCTGCATGTGTAATAATGACAATTACAAAAATATTGCATTCAAATGAATGACATGAAGCAAAGAAATAATTAATTTAAGAAAAAGAAATGAATTTTACAGGGGTAATCAAAATTACTATAATCATTCCATTATTTACAGATTTTCTAAATGAACATTGCAAGAAATCACTGCTTAGCTTTCTAAACTTGCACAATTTTGAATTTGTAATTTCATAGGTCATCATATCTTTTTTTGACCTTAATCCATTAGGCTTCACAATCTTAAACCAAGATAATTTAATGGATGGCCTCACAATTAAGTTGTATGAATTCTAGAAGATAGTATGAAAACTATGTTTATATCTTATAAACTGTTCTAACCCTAATTTTAGGCATAATGGTTAGAAGTTCTAAATATTCAACTATAAACACTTAAAATTAAATTGACCTAATTATTTCAAATTTTGAATCTAGTTTGATCACGATCACAACGTATTACATCTCCGATAATGATATTTTGTTAATCTAAATTTCAAGATGGTTTTAGTAGCTAGGGTTGGACATGCCTAAACCAAAAGCCAAACAAGGCTGAGATAAGATTGGACTTCCAAATAGTCAAGATTTATCTAGTTTGTGCAACAAGAACCAAAAAGCATGGATATATAGATAAATCATTCTATATCTCAATTGCCACACTATTGTTTTGTTGAGTGGTTTATCTATCTCACAATACATCTTATTGTCATCATAATTAGCACAATTACCTTCAAGCTGGCTTTCATTGCTTCAGATATATATATATATATATATATATATATATATATATATATATATATATATATATATATATATATATATATATATATATATATATATATATATATATATATATA